AATGACTTGTGAAATAACATAGACATATAATATTTTATTATTAATTTCATATACCAAATGACCTTGGTCATTTGAAAAACAGCAAATGACATTTTAATTGTCAACATATATGATGATAAATATGATTTCATATTAGTTACAGTTTACAATCAAAAATGTTGCATTATTTACGATAAAACGTTGCAACAAAACACTGCAACTTTTTGCGACAAAATGTTGCAACTTTTTACAACAAAATGTTGAAACTTTTTACAACGAAGTGTTGCAATTAATTACGACAAAATGTTGCAACTTTTTACAACGAAGTGTTGCAATTAATTACGACAAAACGTTGCAATTAATTATGACAAAACGTTGCAACTTTTTACAACAAAATGTTGCAATTATTTACAACGAAGTGTTGCAATTAATTACGACAAAACGTTGCAATTAATTACGACAAAACGTTGCAATTATTTACGACAAAACGTTGCAATTAATTATGACAGAATGTTGCAATAATTTTTTTACAACAACTTTTTGCAACAAAATGTGGTACACTTTTGTCCAGCATGGCGTGCCATAATAGTGTTTTTGAAGATTTAAATAAAGTTGTAATAAAATATGTGAATGATAGTGGCATGCAGGTAATTGTTTTATAATATTATATTATTTCATTTTCTATTACTTATATCATCATCTATAATAGAAAGGGTTGTCAGAAGAATTCAACTAATTAGAAGGCATATGAAAAAAGGTTGTGAAAATGAAATAAGGAATAATATTGATAATAGACAATTAAAGCATGATAAGTGCCTTGATCATTGTTTATTACATGCTTTTGGTGAATGTAATGATGAACATAATTTAAGATGTGTGAATTGTTTAAAATTTCATAATTTTTTCGAAAAATTGATTAGATTATTACCAGAAAATTAATTGGAGAATATCAAAATTTACAGATAAAAATTGTATTATTATTTGGCACATCAAACAAGAAAGGTGTATTTAAATGCTCAATTTAGATCTAATTTATTGGAATTGGATAAGAATGGTGCTATAATAATTGTAGATTATAAAATGAGTATATTACCAAAAACAGCTCGAGAGACCAAAACTGAATTCTTTGGAAAACGTGGATGGACATTACATTCAATTTTAATGTATACCAAATTTGAAAATCAAGAAGATTATAATATAACAAATATTGTGAGTTGTTTAAATCCATAAATTATTGTTATATAGAACTAAATTGCAAATATTTATTAATATAATTTAAATAGCATTTTTGATGAATTTTTGAAAGAAGGATGGGCATTAAAAGAAAATCAAAAATTTGGAAACAAGGGAGGCGGAACAAAATTTTCTAAAAAAATAATTACCATTTTACAAGGATTTTTTCATGCAGGTAATATTGACAAAAGTGATTGATATAATGCCCAAAGTATGTATTCTGAATTATTGAAAATGGCTGAAGAAAATGAAATAAGTCAAGAATCAATTCCAAAAGTAGAATCTATACAAAGTTGGATTACTTGTTATTCTGCAGCATGCAAAACTGAATCATCAAAAAATGCCCTTAACAATAATAACAATGAATAATTCATAATAGGTTTTTTTTGAATTTAAAATAATAAATTTATTGTTCATTATTACTTCATATTTTTCATAAAAATAGTTTGAGTATTATTACCATTAAAATTGGCTACATTGTGTTTGTAATTACATATTTTTTCAAAACAAATAATATAAAATTCATTATTTCCTTCGTTATTTTGTATATGTATTTTTACATGGAATCCACAGCTGCCCAAGAGTAAACTATTTATTTTAATATAAATAAAGAGAAAATTTTTTACGTTTTGAAAAATCAAGTTCCTATCCACAATCTGCATGATTTCTATCACTTGATGAGTTTTTTAATTTTATTAATGACGATCGCCCAGATTTTATTATATAGTAATAGTAATAGTGAGTTTCTATCGTTGATCGGCGGAACACAAATTAGCGATCAGAAAAATTTGGCAGTTGTCTCACGAATTACGAAATAATATATAATAGGCTATAACAGGTTTCCAAATTTGGAAAAAATCATGGTTATTTATTATATAAATAAATAAAATTTCTTTAATTGGATACAAAGCTTTTTCTTTTCTTTTATAATATACATCACTCAATCACTAAATCACTCGCTCACACAATCAATTAAGCCATTATTAATTAAAAATGACTGATTATCAAGTCAATGATGAAGATCCTGAAGAAGTAGGATTAATATCCAAAAATGCAAAACGTAATAAAAAGGTTTGCTATATTTTCTAGCTTTGATTATTCAAACATTCATGGATGAATTTTAAATGTTTTGATTTTTTAAAAAAGAATACGTTCCTAGTTTTTTCAACTATTCTTGTTATTTTATTCATTGTGATTGGATTTGGTGCTACTTTAAGCAGTTTCAGTAAGATTTGTGCATGAAACAACAACATATAATAAATATATTATTTCTCTTGCAAATCACTCATTCACACTAACATTTGTTCATTCAATTGCATAGCCGGTAATAATGTTAAAAATGAAAAACGTAATGTGATATTAATGATTTCAGATGGATTTGGGCCAGCATCAGAAACATTTGCAAGATCATATTATCAATACATTAATCATGTACCTTATAAACAAGTGACACCGTTAGATGAGATTCTTATTGGAACTTCAAGGACAAGATCTTTTGATAGTTTAGTTACTGATTCTGCTGCTGGGGCCACTGCCTTTTCATGTGCAATCAAGACATACAATAATGCCATAGCGGGTATTTTATGATAATAATGATGATAATGATAATGATTTGATGTTAATAATGAATTTTTAAAAATATATACATATTTCAAAATTTTATATATAGTTGATTCTGAGAAAAACCCATGTGGTACAGTGTTAGAATCAGCCAAACATAATGGAATGGTGACCGGATTAGTGGTGACAAGTCGTATAACACATGCAACACCAGCAGCGTTTTCAGCACATATAGTTCATAGAGATTTAGAATCAGAAATTGCCGTGCATCAAATTGGTGACTATCCACTTGGAAGACAGGTTGATTTAATGTTTGGTGGTGGGAAATGTTTCTTTTTACCAAATAGTAGCGCAAGTAGTTGTAGAACTGATGACAGGGATGTGCTAAGTGATGCTATAAATAAATTTGGATTTAACTATTTGTCAACTAGAAAAGAATTTGATGATCTCAAACTGTCAAAAAAAGCGTATGTATATTCTTATTGTTGTTATCATTATTGGTATTACTATTAAGGATGAAAGAAATAATAATATTCAATAATTTGAAATTAGACTTCCTCTTCTGGGCTTATTCAATTTGGATGTAAGTCTTAATAATAATAACAATAATAAAGCTGGTATTCATAAATGTACATATATATATATATATATTCATAAATACCCATGATTTTTTTTAGCATATTTCTTATGAGATTGATCGTGATCCATCTAAAGAACCATCTTTAAAAGAAATGACAGAAAAAGCAATCAAGATTCTTGAGGATGCTACTGCTGACAGTGACAAAGGGTTTTTCTTGATGGTTGAAGGAAGTAAAATTGGTAAGCAGTTATGATTTATAAATATAAATAATAACAATATTTGTGATGTATGATTTTACATGTGTTTTTTGTACTTATAAATAGTTTAATTATTATTTTTTTAGATTTGGCAGCTCATTCGTAAGTAACTATATGTAAATTTAAAGGATCATCATTTTCTTTTATTTAACCAATAATTACACAATTACAATAATTATTATAATGATCATTATTAGGAATGATCCTGCAACACATGCTCATGAAATTTTTGCATATCATGACACAATTTCACTTGTTAAGCAATATGTTAGCGACCATCCAGGGACTGTGATGATTTCAGTTAGTATTAACTAATTAATTAATTAATAAATAAATTTTAACTGTATATATATATATATATACACAAATAACACATAATTTTATTGTTTATTTAGGTTAGTGATCATGAAACTGGTGGATTATCACTTGCACTTCAAACTACTCACGAATATCCTGAATATGGATGGTATCCAGAAGTGTTAACTAAGGTTAAAAATTCATCGTTTGTCCTCTCAGAAGAAATTGAGAAATATTCGAAGGCTGATCGTAAAGACTATATTAAAAAGCTTCTTGAAAATAGCTTGGGTATTATAGATTATACACAGGAGGATATTGAATATTTGAACCAAAATCAACTCCAATTAGATTATGAATTATATTTGTCCAATATGACTAGTCACAGAGCTGAATTAGGGGTATTTAATCATAATTAATTAATTTGGAGGTCCTTTCAAAAATTTTCCCATTTAATATTTTTATTTAATAATAGTGGGCAACTCATGGACATTCTGGTGTTGATGTTAATTTGTATGCATATGGTGATAATATTGATTATTTATATGGAAATCATGAGGTAACATACAATTATTTATAATAAGATAGGATATATTTATATGGTATACTTACAATTGTAACTATATAAATTTGTATCAGAACACTGATATTGGTGAATTTATTATTAATTATCTTGGTTTGGATCTTAATGGTATAACTATGAAATTAAACAAGTTAGTATCTTTATTTTATTTATTTTTGTTATTATCAATCATTGTTATTATTTATTAATTGGTTTCTTTATTTCTAATGTTTGTAGGAATACAAGTAAGTATTTCACCATCTCAATTATTTTATCATTTAAATTCAAATTACTAACTAAATATTTTTCTTCTCATCTTCCAGCTTTCCACTTGGAAAGAAATTTTACAGCGGCATCTAATATGAAATTAATTCATCATCATCATCATCATCATCATCATCATCACAATTAACATGGCAGTATGACAGTGAGTGAATGCTGTTTTCCTTTCTAGTTGATAATAACATACATATAAGATATTATTTAGAAAAAAATTTGTTATTAAATAATATTACATTCAAAATTTGCATTTTTTTTTATAATAAAATAATAAATAAATAATAACAAAAAGAATAACAAGAATAATGAGTGATGTTTATTCATTCACCATGTAATGATACTTTCTTATATTGATAATAAAAAGACTAATGTCAAAACTTTGATAACCAGACGAATATAATTTATTCATCTTATATAATCAAGTTCATTTGAAGAGAATCTATAAAACATTGATAAATAGAAATATCATTAATATTAAGTTTAATATTAAACAAGTAATTAAATAACAATTACCAATGATTTGTGAATTAACAGGCCGAGGAAGATTGTAAAACTCAATAATCTGCTTGCATTTGGATGAACAGTTGTTGTAATTGTTCAAATATTATCCTCATCATCCTTAATTTATCCAAGCTGTTCTTCAGAATAATTAGGTTCAGAATTTCATCATCATTCTGCTGTTAGTCTTTTTTCCAGGATCACCATTTGTGCATTCCCAATATAACATTTTGGGAGTATTATCCGAAAAATTAGGCCTCGGATCTGATTGCAAGAGCATGATCATGTGACTGATCTTTGAATGGTCGTTGACCTGTTGATGATATCTATGACAGTAAAATCCCAAAGTTACGTATGGATGTCAGATTTTTGTGTATAAGGTTCCCATTTAAAACCTATGATGCAACATATGACAGTGCTCTTCATATTATATACCATTTTTATTTAATAATTTTCAATCAACTAAACCTAATAACCTTAAATCTACAATTATCAAAAATGGAAAAATGGAAAAGATTACCACTGTGAAGATCATGATGTAGAAGTCCTTTACAATGAATGATGATGTCTAAACCTAAGATAATACTATAAAGCATTGTAATTCCATAATCGTTCCATTTTGAATGTTTTATAGAACTCTGATTTTATATATAATATACAAGTCACTCCTGTTATAACGACAAGCAAAAAAAGTTGGTATAATGAGATCGTCATAATAATGGGAGAATCATTATCATATGATTTTATAATGTTATTTTTATTATAATTATATATTGAAATTACTTCCATTCATTGTTTAATTCACCATATTAGTCAATGTTTTTTACATTGTATTGATCATTTATTAAAATTACGCCGATGCAGGGACAATGATTTTCTGCATAGCGCAGAAATCATGAATAAAAATGGAAATTACTATAATAATAATCTACCGCAGAATACTGCAAATAATATAAAAATAAGATTAGGTTTTTTATAATGAATAAGAAAAGGTACAAGGACAACAATTACAATCAATACTAGAGTAGAAGAAAATCCTGGTGAATTTCGCATTGATAATAAAATTTTATTTTGTAATTTGTGACCATTCTGTTAATTTGGGTACGAAAGTCAACGGTTGATGTCCAGCAAAACACATAAAGCCAAGGAAAATCTGTATGAAAATAAACAACAACGAACGCTTGATGCCTCTCTTTCTTCTTCTGAATCTAAAGAAAATGAATGGGCAATTCATTGTGGGTCTACGCTTAATATAGAAGTTGCATTAGGTGAACACTGGTCAAATATGGCCGAAAATTTACCCCCTTTTGCTGTATTTCAAATAGCATTTGGATATATGTGGTTACCAATTTCTTCCTGTAGTGCAGAACAGAGTTTTTCTAAATATAATTTTTAGATGATGATAATCGACGAAGTTTAAATATGCTTTATTTTAATGGTAGTATAGTTTAAATATTTAGCATTTCTATTTTGTAATATTTTTTAAATAAGAAATAATGGTATTAATAACTAATAACTACTCTTTCTGAATGCATAGATATTATGACAGAAATTACGCAGAATATAGTAGTAGTGTTTTTTTAATGCATGACATTCACGCAGAATTTGTTTTTAGCACGAACGGAATTATTAATAATAATAATAACGGATCTTGCTCTATAACAAACTGAGAATTTATATGTCCCATCACTGTCTATAATAGAGAGTGAACTATGTATTAATATTTAACACTACATTACCATTTATATGCTTGACTTGGTTGTAATTCTATTAAAAAAACAAGTAATTATGAATATTGTGAATATTTAATCATAATATTAATAAAAACATATATCGTTTGTGTTTTTACCCACTCATTCGCAGAAGTTATTATTTTTTAAAAATGTTTTCTTGGCAACCTACATCACAAATGTTGGTTTTTTGGTACTGAAATGAAGAGAAAAGCTTAAAATAAGTATAAAGTGGTAGAAAACGGGAATGATATTATAGAATATTTAGATGAAATTGAAATAAATAACGGATTAAATACAGACAAACGTAAAAATTTATATAATATTTTTATAGAATACTTAAACAATTTAAATAGAGAACATGCACAACAAGTTTTCAAATTTATATGTGGAAATAATTCATATACCTCCAAAATTTCCAATATCTGTGAGTAAATGTTTTTAATATTTTATATTTAAAGAAATTTATTAAATGTTATTACATTTTATATACCAGATTTTGTGGAAATCACCTTCTAAATCATCACCATTATGTAGACTACCAAATTCATCAACATGCATTATTAACCAGTTGGTATTGTCTGATACATATGATGATGATGAGATGGATATTTTCATCAATGATTTGAATGCTGCTTTTCTTGCTGATAATGTTGGTTTTCACAAGGGATGTCTAAAGTTAAATAAAATTAATTAATTTTTTTATTGAGTTCATCATACAAGGAAAATTTTTTTTCTATTAATTCATTTCAATGGTATCGGATGCCTTCAAAAATTATTATATTGAGATTGAGATTGAAATTTTCAATCCATGATCAAAAATTATTTTATCAATATCAAGATGATTGACAATTATTAATTAAAAATGGAATTTTTATGTCTCTTTTCTCTTTTTATTAATCATCAAAGAAATGAATTGGACCTTGAACTTACAAATACCAATTCTAATGATTTTAGTATTGATGTCTTTGTTTTTTGGGTACTTCAATATTTAAAAAAATTTTTTTTACTATTGAAATTTCATATTAAAATTCAATCTCAATCTCAATCTAATAATTTTTGAAGGTGCCCATTGTAATTACAATTTTTGTTCTTGAATAAGATAAGAGAATAAAAGTGAAATGACATAGACATAATATTTTATTATTAATTTCATATACCAAATGACCTTGGTCATTTGAAAACAGCAAATGACATTGTAATTTGTCAACATACAGTTGGTTCTGGATATAGTGAAGCATTTGTTTTTAGAAAAAGCTTCATTATACAGTATGATTCATTAACACTTATAAAAGATTACTCAAATCCAGTAACACTGCTTTTTTTCTTACTTGGGGTGGATTGTATGATTTTTAGTTTTGATCTACTATTTTTTTTTTTTTGTAATAAATAAATAATAAATAAATTTGTTGTTTGCCTATATTTATCAATTTTTACTAAACACAATTTTTTGGGAAGCATGAGATGAAAAAAATGAGATGTTTCTTATGATTTAGTTAAAAAATTTTTTTTTTTTTTACTCTTTGAAATGATTAATATTACACATATTGTTATTATTAATTATTTTTTTATTTATATATTTATTTTATTACTAATACTATATATTCACTCTCATTAATTCCGATGTATATAAGATCTAGATGATTGCATAACAATATATTAATAAATAGTATTAATAATAAGCACAGATTGTACTTGTAAAAACCAAGATTTGTTTTTTATATACAAGCTAGTAATAGCCTACTTAACTTTAAACATTTCTATTAACGTGTTGCTATGATAGTTTCATTCCATCAATTAATATTATAATAATTAATAAATTAATAACCTATAAATAATTATAATAAATCAGTCTCTTATAATTAAAGTCTAAATTTTTCTAATACAACCTTTCAAGTAGTTATAAGTGACTTTGTAGGGAACACTTTGGCACAATTGTTGCCACTGAATTTGTTTTAGTCTGCATACTAGTTGGAAGAAAATCTTAAAATAAGTGTGAAGAAAAGAAATGCTTCTGACCTAGCGTAGAATAACCAATATTTAAGCTAACCTTTTCTTTTAACTGTTGTTAGAAAGTTCTAGTCTGGCTCTAAAAATTTTATTATGGTTGAAAACTGCTTGCTATATGAAAACGGAGAATTTTTTTTTGAAGTGGACGATAATAATTTTATTCATGTAACGTTTATATTGAATGACATTTGATTTGCGACTATTACAAATACACCTTAGTATTAGGAAGTAAAATAAACATAATTCCGTAAATATTTAAATATAATATTTAGACATTATTTACCTTTGCTTGCAATTGGACATGCTAACAAATTTCTACATATACGAATATAAAATTAAAATTTGACTTTAAGGCTGAGATTATTTTTGGTTTTATTAACAACTTGCTTCAAAATTTTTTTTAAAGTAGATACATATGACAAAGAAGTTATATATCAAATTTGGTGGCAATTGCTACACAACAAGGGTATCAAACGAGGGTATGAAGACATTCAATTCGAAATTTTATTAATAAAAAATTGTGTAGATCACTGGAAATTTTTTGGAAAATAAACTAATATATTAAAATATTTTTTCTTTTGTAACCTTTTGAGTAGAAACTCCAATTAAAAGATTGTGTCTTCATATATTATCTAATCATTATTAATATTAATATAATAAAAGTTAGAAAACAGTAATGTGAAAAAAAACTTTGTTAAAAAGCTCTTATATATAATAATAATAATAAATAACTTATAAAACCGTTTTTTGCTTTTAATTTCTTCCTTCCCCAAGAAAACCATCTGAAGCATATGTTTTCTGAAAGCTCTTGATGTACTCTATCTTATCATGCTAAAACGATCTCAATAAAGCTGATTTCTGAAAAGAACTAAGCTTCTGAAGTCAAAAACCATAGGTTTCTTTGGGAGGTTATTACTCCATAACTGGAAGAGCTACAGGCACATAAAGCTCGCGTTTTAAAGGTCAAAGGCAAGTGAATGTTTTTACTTAGAAACACGAAAATTGTTTAATAATGAGTTTACGTTCAATTCATTCGCCAAAGTCCATTGAACAGAAAACGTGCCATGTCGATCATATATTAAAATCAGTCACTGTGAAATGTTGTCCGACTAATACTAGTCATGTGACATTTCCCTGAGACTGCTTTCTATAAACATAGCGGGCTTTATCTGTGATTGGTTGATCCACAAAGAAATTGATTGGATAATTTTATAATATGCCGATCATT